TGCAAGAGGAGACTCTATTCCAAGCGTGAGCTAAGATCACCTAGGGGACATTTTATAGATGAGGTAAGTCTTGAAAGACCAGGGATAGTAACTCAGCAGACCTGGGGGGTTTCAGAGGAGAATCCAACCTGGAGACACAGTGGGACAGAGGTGATGGATGCCAGGAAAAACCTGTCATATCTGCAGGGAAGGGATCACTAAAGAGGAAATGTTATCTGGAAGTTAAGGCTTGATGACAGGGACACTCAGGCCCTTCTATCACTGATGGGGAAGAAAGGGGTTTGACTGGCACCAGTCAGAGTTTCTTGCTCTATCCAAACAGCAGGATGAGGTAACAAACCCTCTTCTTGTACCACGTACAGAATACTTTTCTTACAAGAAACTTAAAGCATAATGCTAATATCTAAGATGCTACACAAAATAGAGCCACAAAAAAAGTCCTCAGAAAACGTGGGGGTAAGTACCATGGGAAAGGTTTCTGTCATATCAACCCAAGGACTACCATTCCCACTGCTGCAGCTCAGCAGGGCGACAAAGCCTCCAGACCAGAAGGCAGGCAAGGAGCAGTTAACCAGGTCTCCACAGCCAGCACAGGCTCTAGGAGAAAACTGCAATAAGGTAATTAATCAGACACCATAGATGATCTCCAACCATCTATGACCAACTTCTGTGATGGCACTTCATCAAAAGGCCAAAACATGAAACATTAGAAAAGGAAATATCAATAATCTGAATCAAGTTAACTAACCTTTCCCATTTATCCAGTAAAGTAAACTAAATGAAAGTATTTTTATTTGGTAATGAATAAATGGTTTGGGTTACAAAATTAAGTAAATTAATGACATTAGAGATCATGACTGCTAGCTGTGCGTGTGTTCATGAAGAGCTGCCTTAATCAATTCAATCTAATGACTTCTTTTGTGAGCAGAAAAGAGCAAAACACAAATTTTGACCTTTCCTTAGAATCAAAACTCAGGCTATGAAAATGGAGATTTCCAAAAGATAAGATATAGGATGGTGTTAAAATTTTAGTCTCTACATACTTCTTTTTTCCTATCTTTCTGTATGTGAGATAAAAGCTGCTCCTACAGATACTAATAAAATTGTCATAAAATCATTTAAATAAAGTATTAAGAGTTGCCTGGCTGGTATGACTCAGTGGTTGAGCGTCGACCCATGCACCAAGAGGTCACCGGTTTGATTCTTGGTCAGGGTACATGCCCAGGTTGTGGGCCCAATCCCCAGTGGGGGGCATGTAGGAGGCACCCAATCAATGTTCTCTTCCATCCTCTCTCTCTCTCCCTTCTTCTCTCTCTAAAAATGAATAAAGCAAAAACAATTAAGAAAGTGAAATTACTATTAACATTTTGTCAATGTATAACTTAAGCTACTACAAGAAAATTACAACATAGTTTATGCATAATATAACATGAAAATATTATTATATATAATATTATACTATTAGGGAATAAATATCCATTAAAAATGACAAATATCCTTACTTTAAGGCACCTTCATTTACTTTTTAAAAAAAATAATTTTTATGGAGGTGAGATTCATAGACATAAAATTAACCATTTTAAAGTGAACAATTCAGTGACATTTAGTACATTCACAATGTTTGCAATCATCATATCTATGTAATTTCAATAGATTTTCATCACCCCAAAAGGAAACTCCATACCCATTAAGCAGTTGTTCCCCATTCCTCTTTCCCCCTTGCCTCTGTTAACTACCAATCTGTGTCTGTCCCTATGGATATTTTACGTATTTCACATAAATGAACTCATATACTACCTTTCATGTCTGGCTTCTTTCACTTAACATGTTTTTGAGGATCATCCATGTTGTAGCATGTATCAGTACTTCATTCCTTTTTATGAATAACATTCCATGTATGTATGTTACATAATTTGTTTATACATTCATCCATTAATAGACATTTGGGCTATTTCCACCTTTTGGCTATTGCAAATAGTACTGCTATAAACATTTGTGTACAAGTCTTCATTTGAACATGTTTTTAATTCTTTTGGGTATTTATCTAGGATTATTTAATGGGTCATATGGGTCTATGTTTAACCCATTGAAAAACCTCAAAATGTTTTCCATAAGTGACTGCACCATTTTACGTTCTCACCAGCAATGTACAGGGTTCTAATTTCTTCACATCCTTGTCAACATTTGTTATTTTCGGTTTTGATTATGGTCATCTTGATGAGTGTGAAGTGGTAGTTTTGATTTACATTTCCCAAATGACCAGTGCTGAGCATCCTTTCATATGCTTTTTGGCCATTTGTGCATCTTCTTTGGGGAAAAGTCTATTTAAATCCTTTGCCCGTCTCTTTAAATTGTGTGGTGTTTGTTGTTGTTGAGTTGTAAAAGTTCTTTATATAATCTGGATACTAGATTCTTATCAGATATATTCCATTTCGTAGGGTTTTGTTTTTTTTTTTCATTCATTTGATAGTTCCCTTTGATACACAATTTGATAAAGTCCATTTTTTTTTTCTTTTGTTCATACTTGTAATGTCATTTCTAAAGATCCAAAGTCATGAAGTTTTCCTCTAAGAGTTTTATGGTTTTAGCTCTTATATTTAGGTCATTGATCTATTTTGAGTTAACTTTTTATACAGTATGAGGTAGGAGTCCAGCTTCTTTTGCATGTGGATATTCAGTTGTCCCAGCACTATTTCTTGAAGAAACTGTTCTTTCCCCATTGATTAATCTCAGGGCCCTTTCTGAAATTTGGGCCATAGATGTATGAGTTTATTTCTGTACTCTCAGCTTTTAAATATTAAAAATAAATTAATAACTTTCCATCCTATAATTCTACCACTGCTTTTCCCAGACAAGGTTTAGTTTATAATGGCATATTAGAAACTCTTATTTCAAAATTAGAATTTTAAGTAAGAAATACACATACAAAATTTCATTACTAATAATTCTTAAAAAAAAAAAAAAGGATGAGAAGTAGCATATGCGAACTGAAAATCAAAACCAATCTCTGCAAAACAGTATTTTATAAAGTAGCATGTGAGTTTATTGTTATTGAAGTCATGTATAATGACATCATTAATTTTAACTGCCTACCCTTTATACAGCCTTCTGTTTTATAATTAATTATGAGCTTCTAGCCCTGACCGGTTTGGCTCAGCGGTTAGAGTGTCAGCCTGCAGTCCAGAGAGACCCGGGTTTGGTTCCCACTAAGGGCACATACCTTGGTTGCAGTTTGTCCCCGGCCCTGATTGGTCGTGCGGGTGGCAACCACTTGATGTGTCCCTTTCACATTGATGTTTTTCTCTCTCTCTCTCTCTCCCTCCCTCCCACTCTATCTGAACAAAAAATGGAAAAATGTTCTCGGGTGAGGATAAAAAAAATAAACAATTATGAGCTTCTAGTCAGTCTTATAATATAGGTATTACATTAAATGTTCTTCTTTTTTTTTTTTAATCCTCACCCGAGGACATTTTTCCATTTTTTGGTCAGATAGAGCGGGAGGGAGAGAGAGGAAGAGAGAGAGAGAGAAACATCGATGTGAAGGGACACATCGAGTGGCTGCCACCCGCACGACCAACCAGGGCCGGGGACAAACTGCAACCGAGGTACGTGCCCTTAGTGGGAACCGAACCCGTGTCTCTCTGTACCGCAGGTCGACACTCCAACCGCTGAGCCAAACCGGCCAGGGCACATTAAATGTTCTTGATATCGTCTTGTGGAATTACCTGTGTCAAATTACTGTCCAATGCCAAATAAGGGATGAATTTTACATCAAATGACTGTTTTACCATCTAAAACTTTTTATTAACATCAAAGTGTCCTAATAGGAACCAACCATTGACTTTATAACTTTTCTTAGCACATTGGATTTAAGTACCAGTATAGCATGTTATCATTTGGAAGTTAAGATCACCACTATTTTAGACACAGTTGGGCATTCTTTCCAAACTGCCCCTTCTGCATTATTTTGCCTAGGAAGCTCTGAACTGCCATCTCCTCTTAGCTTGCGGGCCTTCAGCCACCTAGTACTAAGAAAACAACTGACTTCCCTGATCACAAATCTCCACAACAGAGGATCAGTTATAAATGCTGGTGAAAATTCTCTAAACCAAAAGTCTCTAAAGAAAACGAACTCCCCTACCACAATATCCAAAAGTTCTCTTTCATCTTGAACCCCCTGCTACTTACTATAAACACTGGGTGTTTAGCTTTATCACACTTTCTTTTAGATGCAAAGACAGTTTTGTTTTTACTGACCAAAGAAAGAAAAAAGTTTTGCCCAGAAAACTAAGGGATAAGAAGTTCAGGAAGTGCTGATAACGGTAGTCTAGAAAATATGTGAAAAACTTTACCTTTAGCTGGCCAGTGATGTCGCGGCAGCTGACTGTCTTACCATGCAAGAGACTAAGGTTCAGGGTCAGACCAAGGGTTCTGACGTTCTGGGCTGGACACATAGTTGAAGTGAGACACCAAGGAAGAGACGGCCAGCCCAACCCCTCACACAGCATCCCTTCCTGGTTAATCCATGGGGTGATAATGACACTGACTGGCCTCATCCTGCCAATGAAGGGCAAAGCACTGCAATGATGGTGCCTAGAAATGAATAGGAGTGATTGGGAATAAAAGGGGGGGGGGGGGAGTGGGAGGAAAGGTGGCCAGGATGAAGAAATGAATAAAACTCCAAATTTCTGTTACAACTCACTGTCATACGTACTACTCTAATATCATAATGAGAGGGGGGAAAGAAAGAAAGAAAGAAAGAAAAGAAACAGAGAAAAAACTTGCTATCTATTTAATTTATGTAGCAATCTAAGAATTTGGGTTTGTATCCTATAATCTGACTACATAAAGATAGAGCAAGAGGTTAATTCAATAAACCTATAGCAAAGAAAAGAGTATTTTCATCATCAGCATTTCTAAATTCTGATGATTTAACTTTATTTACTTCATTTTCATTACAAAACAACTCAATCCATGCTATTGAAATAGATGGTACTTACCAAACAATTCCTTGGGCTCCAGAGCCAATTGGTTTCAGCTGCTGGTAACACTTAAGGACAGTGAAAGTTGAGTCTGCCACTTGCACACTGTAAAATTGACTATCACATTTACTGTCACTCATGATGTAGTGTCATATAAGATTCCAAAGGCTGTACAGTTGTCAGATTCCTTGAAAAAAAAATTAATATGCATTCTTACTGAAATTACATATATAGTGAACTTAATAGTGTTTCAAGTTCATTGGTATACAAGACAACATGGCTGTAAGTTCATAAACTCAGTTTGATCAAGTTCTGAACTTAAGCAACATGTGAAAAATGCAATGGTACAAGACCATTATAAAAGGAAGAAAATTTGAGGCCCTGCATGACCACATTTTACAGGATTGGATTAGAAAATAACCCCTTTTGGAGAAAAAAAATTGCACATTTTTTCTAGCAGTGAATAGACTATGTCACTACATGATTCTCATCAGCTTGCTTCCTGTAGGACTGGCTTACAAGCTGTCTCAACCAGCAAGAAGGCACTGTTTCAAATAATCACATCAACGATTTCCACAGAAAAATAAATGGACCAGTCTTCTTTAAGTCCACAAATGCAGGTTAAAGTGACAAACCAGAAAACAAGTCCTGTGTCAAAGTGGTAGAAAAGGGGCAAGTTAAATAACTTCCAGCCAGGTTGGAGGCCTGGTGACATGGGTGTGTTGTGCATGCCCATGCATGTGCTGCTGCCTGGTGAGAGTGGTCCTGGAGCCAGCCCATCTTCCCGCACCCCACATCTCTAGTGGGCAATCAATAACATAGACACCATTATGTTCATTTGTGAGGTATGAGAATAACCTGGCAGCCTCAGAGCAGCCTTCCCAGGCTTTGGGCAGAGGCTGAGATGCCCATCTGAAGGAGTTTACATGACTTCATACAGAAAACAAGTGCACAGAAAATTGTCAGGTAGCTATACTTATTTACATGCTTCCCTGGCTCTTGTTTGACAATGTTTACTGACAAGTCAGCAAGCTATTTAAGTTAGTCTTTAAAAAAAAAAAGTAAAAAGCCAACCGTTAAATCATATAGGTTATAAACATTTTTATACTGTTTAAATTAAACACAGAATTTAGCCCTGGCCAGTTTTCTCAGTGGTTAGATCACTGACCCGTGGACCAAAGAGTCGCGGGTTCGATTCCAGCCAAGGCCACGTTCTTCGGTTGTGGTTCATCCCCGGCCCTGGTTGGGTCACACGGGAGGCAACAGATCAATGTGTCTCTCTCACATCGATGTTTCTCTCTCTCTCCCCCACCCCCTTCCACTCTATCTAAAGATAAATGGAAAAAATATCCTCAGGTGAGGGTTAAAAAAAAACACACACAATTTAAATTTTAGTCTACACCACCAGCAAATCCCTGCCTGTTTGTTCTATCATCTAATATTTATTGTCTATTCACTGAGTTTTTTGGAATGATTATTTGTATTTCAACACAGTGATGTCTAGAATTTCCATTGAACATGGAGATAAATTGATTAATAAAAAGCCTAAACAAAAAATTTAAATAAAAGGAATAGTTTCTCCAACTGACCACTGCTTTTTCACTGTTCTCAGGGCAATGGCTGAGGCATAGCTGTCAGTACCACCAGCCACTGCAAATGAGAGCCACATACTCTGCCAAGGCATGCATGCCTCAGGAAGGCCAGCACTGCATGACATGAACTATCACACTGCTCATGACACTACAGCATGATGATCAGCCCCATGTTACACTTTGCTAAATGGCCTGACCAAGTCATGCTGCTATAAGGAGGGGACCTGATGTTCCAGGAGGGTGGGGACAGATCTGTTTTGGTCACCCTGGCATCCCACATTCATAGGACAGGAGGAAAGGGAGAGCCTGGCCCCTGGGACAACTAGGGCATTCAATAGACCTTTGTTGATCTAACCCTTAATACATCATCTAATGATTTCCTCACAATGCTGCTCCTTTTTACTGACATCTGAAAAAACATCCTTTTCTAAAGATTAATTTATTTATAGACAATTCTACTCAACATTTATGGGGTGCCTTTGTACAAGAACGTGACAAGTCATGTAGGAGATATACAGCAGCATCTAGGAACCAGTCTTGAAGCAGCATGTAGTTCACGGCTTGGGAGAGAAGTATGAGGAATTCATCTGTTATCTATATTGTAATACAAGTTATAATGAGGTAAGGGCCATAAGAAAAATGTAAACAAAGAGGTCCTACCCATGGGCAGTATAGAAGACAAGAAAAACTTCCTGGAGAAGGTGGCATCTGACCTGGACTGTTTTGCCAGAGACGGACAGTAGAGGCAAGAGCTCAAGCTGACTGCTCAAACATGGTGAATTGCTCAGCTGGGCAAGTGGGGTACTAACACAAAGGATGAGAAACAGGCTTGGCAAAAAGGTGGGTAGCCACTACAACCTGATGTTTCTTTGCCATATTGTCATACATCAGCAATGCTGATCATTCATAGAGCATGTCCCGAGCACTACTGTGGGCGAGGTTTGTGCCTGGGCAGTTGGTGTGAAAGCGCATACTGCACATGCACTCAGAAAGAGACCCAAAACCAGGAAAGTCCTAACCCCAGAAAGATGGAGAAGGTTTGGGGTGCAGGGAAGAAAAATAGCATGTGCAGAGGGCTGGAGGTACCTCTGAGCATGCCAAATCATTTGAGATTTAGTTTTTCTGGATAATAGGGGAAAGAAGCTGGAGAGAGAAAATGAGGCCAGATCACCACAGGCCCAGAAAGAGCTGGGAGCTGCCTGGGCCTGGGCCTGGGCCTGAGGGCTATGGAGCCATCAAAGTCTATGAGGCACGTGCACTGACCTGCTTTTCAGTTTATTTGGGAAGCTCAGTAAGAGGTGGATTTGAGTGGGCAGGATTGAAGACGAAGAAATGTGGCAAAAATGACTGAATCATGGCAGGTGGGGGAAAAGAGATGTATAGTTTGGAGGAAGAATGTACACAACTTGCTGCCCTGAGGAGACAGGAGAAATGAAGGTGAAGCATCTGGAGGTAGGCAGGAGACTCATGCGGAGCCAGCGAGTTCAGCTTTGGAATATGAAGTACTTTGGAGTTTTAAGTGCCTAAGGAACAAGCAGCAATGATAAGCACAGGCTCCTAATACACTCCAGGAGCCACTGCTCCCTTCTATTCCAGCTGGACAAATGGCTGCCCAACTAGAGACAACATCTGGTTGCTTTCCTGGTAGCCAGGTGTGGCCAGATGACCAACTTTTGGCTAATGAGATGTGAGTTGAAGTAACATATGCTACCTTCAGATCTCTCTCTCTCTCATTTTTTTTTAACAGAAAGCTGCTTGTTGTCCCATCTATCTTTCTCCCTTGCTGCTGGCTCGGAGATTAGCTGTCACAGACCCAGAGATGGAAGTCACAAGCTAGAGTCCCCGAACAGCCAGCACCCTGAATAATCTAGAGGCACAGAGATGCCCCCCCATTCTGGTCCTCCTGCCCACACTGAGACTGGCAGAAATTAATCTCAACCTTGTTGAGCAAGTTGGGGACTCTCTCTGCTACAGCTTTTGTAAACTATAGTCTGACTGGTACAGTATTACATTAGCTTTTGTGGATTTTTGGAATATATTACATCAGGGGTTCAAGAATTATTAAAATAATTTCATCTCAATATTTAAAATAATTTTAAATTTAAAATCAGTTATGCTTATTAGACAGGAAAACAGTACTTAAGAGAAAACCTGTCAAAGCCACCTTCTCTGTCAAGCCTGGGCCTCTTGAGATCAAGAAAAAGAACCTCCAGACAACCCAAGAAAACATGTAATTTAATTATTAATGTAATCAACCCTGCTTCGATCATTATTTTCACAAAATGGACCTCAATTGGGTTTCACAAAAGTTTACAAATTGGGAATTATAAGAATTCCTCATGAAACCACGTTACAACACACTAAAGCCGTAGTCGCTGCCTTTACATCCCTCCTGGTGGGTGCTGGTTCCTCATCTCACTCCCAACAGTGGGACCTGGTGCCTACCAGGCCAGGAGCTCCTCAAAGGCAGGGAGGCCTATCTTCTCTCTCCTACAGTATTGCTTGACAAACTTAAGGAAATGTCCAAAGCCCACCAATGATCCACTGAAAAAGCTCCTGGGGACACACTCTACTCCTGGGACTCTTCAGACCTGAGTGTGGTGAATGGATGCCTAGAGGGAAGGAGCTGGCATGGCCTTTGCTAAAGGTATCTGGCTCTTGCCCATGGCTTTCCTACTTTCCATGCTGCTTTCCAAATGCTTGATGAATAAAATGCTCTCATCTAAAATCTCTATTTCTCTAAGACTGGGGACTCTTGTAGAATCCCCTCCAAATACTGGAGTAAACTCTACTGATTCTATAGATAAATACTGGTGGGGAGGAACATTTTTACTTGCTTAGAACCTACAGTAAGAAATACATTTAAAAAAATATATCTGCCCTGGCTGGTTTGGCTCAGCGGTTAGAGCGTCAGCCTGCGGTCCAGAGAGACCCAGGTTTGGTTCCCACTGAGGGCACGTACCTAGGTTGCCGTTTGTCCCCAGCCCTAGCTGGGTTGTGCGGGTGGCAACAACTTGATGTGTCCCTTTCACGTCGATGTTTCTCTCTCTCTCTCTCCCCCACTCTATCTGAACAAAAAATGGAAAAATGTCCTTGGGTCAGGATTAAAAAAATATACACACACACATCCAACTCTGGTATTTTCTAAATATAAGCAATTTAGATATTGTAAATATAACACTAAAGCTCTGATTACTTTTTATAAATTAAAAAAATTGCTCTAACTACACAGTTCTCAAAACTTAAAGTGGGAAAACAGTACAGAACATACAGTCCCAGTCTTGTGGGGATGTCACCTGCCATTCACTGAGTTCTCTCAACAAACATTTCCTGAGGGCCTCTTGTGTGCCAAGTATAAGGTAGGGGCTGTTGAGAGCAAGCACTAGCCAGAAGGTCCCTCCCCTCAAACCACCAACAGCATAATTATCATACTGCATCTAAAATGCCCTAGGGGTATGCACAGCCACTTGGCAGGAGCCCAGCAGAGTAGCATGAACAAATGGACAGAGTGTATAAATGAGAGGTGGATGTACAGAAAGGCTTCCTGAAGGAGGCAAAAACTGAAAGCAAATTTGTTCACAGTAGCAACCCAGGTATGAAGAAACTGGTACTTTCATACATACCAGTGAGAAGTATAACTAGTAAAAGATATTTTGGAAGAAAAATAGGTAATATCTCATGAAAATTTCAAATGCACATGACTCTTAACCTGGTAGCTAAGATTCTACAAATGTATTTGACAAATATGTGTACAAATATTCAAAGATGTTTGTGCAAAGATATTTGCAGTACTTCCTGTAACAGGCAAAAACTTAGAAATGACCTAATACATATACTTAGAAAGACTGAACAAATCATAGCATAAAAGTACAATAAAGCCGTTAAAAGCAGGGAATTTGTATATTGATATGGAAGGATGTCTAAAATACATAAAGAAAATAAACCAAATTAAAAAAGAGTGCACATGCCCTGGCCAGTGTGGCTCAGCAGTAAAAGAGTCAGCCACAGACCAAGGAGTCCCAGGTTTGATTCTGGCCAAGGGCATGTACCTCGGTTGCGTTTCGTCCCCAGCCCTGGTTAGGGTTGTGTGGGTGGCAACCAATCGATGTGTCTATCTCACATCAATGTTTCTCTCCTCTCTCTCTTTTCCTCCCTCTCTCCCTCCAGCTCTGTCTGAGGATTAACCAAAAAGTATCCTCAGGTGAGGATTAAAAAAAAAAGAGTGCATATAGTAAATGTCAATCTATGGAGAAATAAACACACACAACATGCTAGTAAGTACAGACACAGTGGGAAATGAGACTTTCACTCTTCCCATTTTAACTTTCTGTTCTGTTTTTCTTTTGGTAGCCATGCACATATTTCACATTAACAAAACTAATTAAACAATTATGAAAATTCGATTTAAAAATGAAAAGCTGCAGAATGGTCACTCTGATATTCATGGGGAGGATGGGTTGGAGACAGATGAGACTGGAGGCAGAAGAGTGGGCAAGGCTCTGAGCTAGCAGTTATAAATGCTCTCCTAAGAGTGTTTGTTGTGCACAGTACTATCTCCACTTTGCAAATGAGAAAATGGCCCAGAGAGCTAGAAAGTAGCATGACCTGGATTTGAATTTAGGTGTGTTTGATTATAATATCTGTGTTCTTCTCAATATACCACTCTAACATTTCTAATTTTAGTTAGAAAGTAGAGTGATGTGTCCAAGGACTGGTTAGCAACAGGCCTGAAAAACACAGGTCTTCATTTTTCATCCTGCTGGCTTCACTCCACCACCTAGACACTTTTTCTTCTGATGAAGATAACTCAGTCACTCACAAACTCAATTAAACATTTGATTACCCTAAGGCTTCGGAATATCCAGGACATGCAATATTTAAATTAACTGATTGCTGTGATTAAAAGCAAATTTTCACATTTACCCTCTGTCCACACGAAGAGAGATCATTCAAATAAAAACCTATACACAAATGCTCATAGTGGATATAATAGCTCAAAACTGGAACATCCAGCCCTGGCCAGTTTTGCTCAGCAGTTAGAGCGTCGGCCTGCGGTCCAGAGGGACCCAGGTTCAGTTCCCACTAAGGGCATACCTCGGTTGCAGTTTGTCCCCGGCCCTGGTTGGTCGTGCAGGTGGCAGCCACTCGATGTGTCCCTTCCACATCAATGTTTCTCTTTCTTTCTCTCTCTCTCTCTCTCTCCCCCCCCCCCCCCCCCCCCACTCTACCTGAACAAAAAATGGAAAAATGTCCTCGGGTGAGGATAAAAACAAACAAACAAAAAACTGGAACATCCAGATGTCAATAGATGAATGGTTAACCAGAGTGCTATGCATCAATATCATGGTACACCATTCAGCAATAAAAGTGAGCAAACTACTGAAAAATGCAACTTGGGTGAATCTTAAGGGCTATACTTAGTAAAAAAGCCAACTGCAACAGATCCATACTGTATAATTCCATTTATAGAACATTCTTAAAATGACAAAAGTAGAGCTGTAGAACAGATTAGCAGTTGCCAAGGGTTATGGATGGTGGGGAAAAGGGGTGCTGTGGTGGTGTGATTATAAAG